GCATACTGTTATCCTGAGCTAAACTGTAGTTTTGATATCTCGAGGAAATTCGATATGCTGCTGGTAAAACGGGTTGGGGATGTCTTTGAGAGAGTCGGTCGAGCTCAGCTGCGGATTTAAGGAAGTCGGACAAAGATCTGGCGGGACATACTTGGGTTGCTCAACGACGCAGAAATGATTACAATCCACCTTATATAGTTAAGGCACGTTATCGAAGTGTAAATACCACCTTATGCCTAAGCTTGCTGGCAGATGAAATTGTCAGGAGATTTGAAGGTACAGCTATTGGCACTTCGTGCTAATAAGCATTTTGGTCTACTTGTATGAAAGAGTCGATGCTTGTCGCACGTGAAGTTTATTTGTTCTCTACAGGCGTGATTTATCCGATACGCGTCATCATGGCGATGACGCTTTATCCATAAATCGTAGCGTAAGGACTCGGCAAGCAGAAGAAGGTGTTGATAATTTTCATTTGACTTCGACTGATGTGCTGTTCTGAAGGCAATTCGGTGCCACGAAATCGACAGCCGGGCCACCGACGTTCCGGCCCCTCCCTCCCGCCCCACATCCAACACTGAATTTTCACACCCCACCCAACCACACAAAACAATCCTCATTCAGCGTAATCATTCTCCATCCCATGATGCTCATCGTCTAGATCAAGTACAACGTACTAGTATTAAATTTGGCCCAAAATCTCCATCAATCGTCTCTCAGAGATCGGTGAGATGGCCGAGTTGGTTATGGCGCCAGGTTAAGGTTCTCTTAACACTAATTCCTGGTCACGAAAGTGGCGTGGGTTCGAGTCCCACTCTCATCAACATTCGTCTGCTCAATATGAGCAGCCTTCGGGAATATCTTTTTGCAGTTTTCGTGAGGTTGAGGTCCAAGTTGAGAAGAAGGAAGTGGCTGCATGCTGGCCAGTACACATCGCGCTGGCACCTTAGACAAGCTTGTCATGCTCTTTTTGCATCGGTAAAGTAAGCCCTTGTGTAGGAGGATTGATAGGTCATAATGAAAGTGCTATTTGCGAGGTATGCTTGCCTCACCTTTCACACAGTTCAATCATCAAACATGCGGACGTTGCCTACTATTCGCCCTCTACACATGGGTCATCTAGGGGCCATTCCTCTCCTTCAGCAAGGTCCTCGATCTTGAAAGCGTGCCTCCCTTCTGATATATCCATTCAGAGAACTGCATCCAGGGAACCCTTGCTACTGAGAATTCCATGAGTGTCCCTTCGGTTGCGCCACACAGTCTACGCGAATCACGATGATTTCTCGCATTCCTACCAAGGGTCTCCCGTATCCCAACATGGGACATATGGGATACGGGACACAGGACACATGGAACACGGGACATGGGTCACATAGGACATATCAGACACACGGGCCGGCGCATCGGTAGTACAAGAATCACGTGTTGTTTGGTTGTCAAGTTTAGATCTATCACGGCAAGAGTTTGATTGTCGACACAACCCGGTTCACCGAGGGAGCTAGCCCTGCGCCCATGGCAGCCGAAGAAACAAAAAGTTTCATTCACAATATGGTGCTGAGATTCCAGTGGTAGTCGAAGAAAGCGGTCTTGAGGCCGAGCAGCAGGTTCTTGCCCAGCCTGTCCCCCGGGGCTTGGAGCACCTAATTCCCAAGTATCCCGACGAAGTTGCAGTCAAAAAGGAGGAACGCCCAATCATCCGCTTGTTTGCTATTGGGTCCATGGTTGAGGTTATGAGCGTAGGTACTACATTTCACTACAAAGGAAGGGGGTGGGGAGGCGTGGACATCTTGCATTGAGAGGTGGTCAAGTTCTTCCCTCGCGGGACGATCGTCATGACTGATTAGCGAGTCATCTGGAAAATCATTTACAGGCCAGAGGAGGCTACCAAATGGACTAGTTGCTGCGAGCGTGCATGAATCCTATATGTATCAATGTGGCAAGATTCAAAGCCTAAATGTAAGTCACGTCGACGTGAAATACGCTAGCTTAAGGATTTCTCTTGGTATAATTAAGCCAACAAATAATGCTAGATTCCATAATCTAACCTTGTTCTCATGAGCGAAACTTAACTCACACAAGGAGCCTCCACCAAAGCTCTTCCTTGAGTTCTTCCCGTGAGCGAGTAATCATTAATGACGTGTCATAGTCGATACATTTTAGTATCACGATAGTTAGGAGCCCAAATAGTCATCATTAAATATCTATTCTTTGTTCTGTTGAGGAATTTTGCCAGTCTATGAGCCGCCTTGTCCGCCCACTCTTCTTCCATGCTCGCCGGATGTTTCGCGCAGGATACATATGCAATGTACACTATTGTATATCCTGTAAAGCTGTGGTGGAGTGTAATAATAATGTTTGCATCGTTAATTTAGAGTACCATACGGCGTAGTTGTCTATATGTAGATACTAGTACACATATAATGGAGGTAAAGCCCGTTGGAAAGGGCGAGGGTACGACTAAAGGTGCGAAGAAGGAGCTTCTCGTCGGATTTCTCTCAAAGTTTACTGGAAAGATTAAACCATGAAATTCTACCCAATGGGTTGCTAGCTACTCCTTTGCATCAAAGAAGGCATGATTGTCTTAAGACCTTCCATCTATGCGCCATATCATGACATCAGGAAAGTCTATCAAGGTTCGTGTCACGAGTCGATGTGTTATAGAAAAGAAGATACACAATAAGCGCTGTCAACGGGTTTCTCTCCGACCTCGGCTGAGGGACGTGTTTGCTCCCCATTCAGCCTAGCTCGCTCCGCCCCTCAAATACCCCGATGACGGTTGGTCGGCGATCAACAACCTACGTCTCGTTCAACATTCTTATTTATTACTAGACAGGCGTTTCAAGATGGCTGCAGTAGATGGTGCAGAGGTAGTGAAGCATAATAACAAGAAATCTTGCTGGATAGTACGTTCTGTTCAATTCAATTGCATGTAGCGTACCTTTGCTGACCCCCACTTTCTAGGTGCTTGACTCGAAGGTGTACGATGTTACGAATTTCTTGCCGAAGCATCCGGGAGGTGCTGCTATCATACTAAAGCAGGCTGGCACAGTATGTTCTTGTTTCGTGATTGAGGATGGATATCTAATAGCGCTAGGATGCCACCGAGGAGTTCAAGAAGTATCACCCCCTGGTACGTACATTGAAGATATACCTATATATGATGCGAATCGATATTTAGAAGCTGCATTAATCGAGAAACTGATGTTGTACTCATTAGGATTATGTCAACGACCTACCGGAAGGAAGCGTTGTCGGCCCTATAGATCCCAACACCTTGGGCAAGCTGAGGGCACCCAGAGAAGCCAATGCTGCGCCTGCAGAGACTGCGGATACCGCCAAAGAGATCCCTCATCTTAGCCTCTGCGTGTCTTGTCCAGATTTTGAGACCGCAGCGAGGGCCGTTTTGCCTCATAAGAGCATCGTCTACGCGAGCACTTCCGCTAATACCGGACTGTCACTGAAAACCAATCTTGATGATTGGGGTCGCATCAATTTCCGTCCACGCGTAATGCGCAACGTAGGCGATGTCGATACTCGCCGCTCAATTTTTGGCAACAGTTCTCCATACCCGTTTTATATCTCTCCGATGGGCACATTGGGTGCCATTCACCCAGCAGCAGAACCTGAGATGGTCCGTGGTGCGGTACGAAAGGGGGCGCACATGGTTGTTAGCACAGCGTCGACCAAGACTTCACAACAGATTATGCAGGCTTGTGTTGATGAGCAGCAAAGGCTGAATAACGCGAGCCCGACAAAGCTATTTTACCAGTACTATATGCCAGTAGATCGCAAGAAAGCGATCGAGCTGATGCATATTGTGAAAAAAGCTGGATACAAAGGCCTTTGGATTACAGTTGATACGCCAGTCCTTGGAAAGCGGACCACAGATCGCGTGCTACAGGCCGAAGAAGCACTTGCCGTTGGCTTGGGAGAAGAAGGAACAGCGGAGTGGGAAGCCGGTGGCGAAAATGCATTTGCGCCAGCCATGGGCGGGCGAGTCGTCAGTGGACAGCTAAGCCCGCATACGACATGGGATGATCTGGAATGGATACGTAAGGAATGGGAAGGTCCGCTCGTTTTGAAGGGCGTTCAGTGCGCAGAAGATGCGAAGTTAGCCTTGGAATATGGCTGCGACGGTATTCTTTTGAGCAATCATGGCGGTCGACAGCTGCACACTGCACCGAGCGCGCTCATGACGCTCTTGGAAATACGTGCATACTGTCCCGACGTCATTGGCAAGCTTGAAATCTTCCTTGACGGCGGCTTACGAGATGGAAGCGACGTGCTCAAGGCACTTTGTTTGGGTGCGACTGCTGTTGGTGTTGGACGACCCTTTATGTACGCGCTTGCAGCGTATGGAAGTCAGGGCGTTGAAAAATGCGTTGACGGTAAACGATCCTTCTCTTGCAAATTTATTGGCCATTGACTGACTACTTGTAGTGCTTGCTGATGAACTTTCATTAGGTATGCGTCTGTTAGGTGTTACCGCGCTGGATCAATTGAAGCCTGAGATGGTGAATCCAACCCGGCTCCTGAATGAAATGTGGAGGCCGGAGAGTAGCAACCTCAACATTAAGAGTCGTTTGTAGTGAACAGAATACCTTCGATCGATAAACCGTCAAAATCTGTATGGACAAGGGACACGGTCGAACATTCCCTCTAACCTTTTTTGAAAAACCCAAAACCAGTGCGTACGTTGTGACATGATGGGTTCGAAACTCATTTTCATCGACGTAAAATGCTCTACGAATCGCCGGTTCCATAAGTGTTGTTCGTTCATTGACATTGAAAATTTGCAGTGTTCGGCGAGATATCGTCTAGCCCCCTGACTACTTTTCGCGTATCCGCCAATCAATCATTCCCCCCACTTCATCAAGCAACACCAACCTCTCAATTTAGCGCCATGTAAGAGCCACAAAGAAATGCCAAAATTGCACCTGCCGAAATTTTTTTTTCTATTGTGAGTATATTGTTGCTAACGGGAGAATATCCCATCATTCAATGGTGAGATGGCCGAGTTGGTTATGGCGCCAGGTTAAGGTTCTCTTAACATCATTTCCTGGTCACGAAAGTGGCGTGGGTTCGAGTCCCACTCTCATCAACATCGTCCGCTCATTGAGTGGGTTTCGGGAATATCTTTTTTGTGGTTGTAGATTGCTTACCGCGGGTGAACGTTCATCTTTGCTTGATAGGTTTGCAGGCACCACCAACAGTTCAAATCACTTTTTTTTCCAATCAAATGACTGTTAGGATAACTATCTAGTATTCAACGCTATCGAAAAGAATGCATATAATTTAAGGCGACATCAACAAGGTATTTACCTGTGAACCAAGACTTAGGTATCTCGCGCACCACTTAATACGGTCAAACTCGATACAGGCACAATATCTGTATAATCAAAGCTTTCGGAAAAGGAAAATATATCGGACTGGCAGATGTCCTCAGGGAAGGATGTAGGCCATATATGCTTAACGTTAATTGCTTCATAACGTGAGAAGAAAATCTGCAGACTATGGCGAAAACCAAAAAGAAATACCTAGTTCCAAAGTCTTCTCATCTCTCGACCTTAGATCTTACAGCTTTGCTGATGAACCAACTTACGCTCCTAGACCGACACCAGACCCTAAGGTCCCACTCTAGTAACCTTAGTCCTGCCCCTTAGTTCTCGACCTCAGAATCTTCATTTTCAGATTCATTTTGCTCCAAATCATCGTTCTGTGAATCCTCGATCTAGTAGCCAGATTCCTCCGAGTCCTCAATCGTATCGATGAAGCTGTACTTATCAACGTATAAACGCTTTGCCTGAAAGTCACGCCCAACAAATCGGGAAGAACGTTTTAGGAAGGTTAGTTCAAATGATCCTCCAGACGGCTCCTATAGTGGACCGATGGCTTTCGCGTTTGTATGCCGCTTGCTATCAACATCGACTTGAACCATCAAGACCTTGCAACCTACATCAAACACGATGCAGAGTAGATAGGGGAAACAGCAGTCATCCGATTGGTAAAAGCCGTATGCTATCTATTCCTAAAGCAGCCAAAGGCGAGTCGGGGAAGGAAAGGATCACAGGTGCAGCGAATACAGCCAGCACAGTGCTCTATTTTGAGCACCCGCCTTGGAACTACTGACTCTCAATTGCATATATGACAAGTCTCACTTGTTTGGTCAATCACTGTGTGTGAGCTATAATATCAATGAAGATTTGGCATTCGGTGGGAGGTATTTCGTGTTATTGTCATGAAGTCTATTGCGCGGGCGTATTTGAAGGACATGTACAGAGAAAACGATGCAAGCGTAATATACAGAAGCAGTAAGGCGGCAAGAGCCGGCCTTTTGTCGGAAAAAAAAATTGGCGACGGAACTGCTTCCTTTCTCGGAAGCTATGAAAAGTTCTACGACCGGATGTCACCAAGACATGGAAGGCTGCAGAGGCTTCGGATCAAACTGGGGCTCCTTGCGGATTGAGGCAAAGATGGACAAGAGCTGTACAGCTTCAATACCACCACTCTCTTGCCAAAACGGCGCAGAAGCCGCTTGCTGCATCGCTAGGTCATAACACGTGTCGAGGAGCGAATTGGTATTCTCCGGACTGTCTTTGATTCGCATCTTCATGCCGATCGCCATGGCCATGAAGACGTGGAATCGCGCCATTTGCGTAGACACCGGGATATCGAGAGCTACTCCCCGCTTCTTAGGATCCGGATAGACAGATTCGCATAATCGACTGAAGAGGCCGGGGGTGACGGAGTACATTTTCTGTTCTGATGATTCTAGATGCTGGACGAATTCCGACGTCAGAGTCTCGGCCTCGAAGCGACTAGGGAACGGTGTGGTTGTGAGCGCTCGACTCCTGTCCGTGAAGCTTGACCTGGAGGAGCCTGGTGGTGGGCTCTCTGTATGCGCGGCAAAAAGTCCCGGACGTGGCAGTCGAGGGGCGGGTGCAAGAGGCAATACATCGGGTTCGTCTTCAGTGCCGTGTTCTTCACTTTCTAGCGAATTCGATGATATTGAAGTTGCGCGGGAGATGCTGGCACTCTGAGATGCGTCAGGTTTCAGCTTGCTTCTTTGGGCCATGAAATCCCACTCAGTTGCGTGCGGTTGTGGCCCTGGCGATGGCGTGTAAGATTTAGTGCTCGATGGAAAGCCCATTGGAGGGAACGATGGCGCACTCGTAGGCGGAATGTCGGGGGACGACGCTCGTGTGGTGCCTGACCAGAATGAAGGTACTGGTGAAGATACGACTGCCGCGTTGGGGACAAGCTCACATTCAGTGATGGCTATTGAAGGCACTCTAGCCCCTGTACTGCCAGCCGAAAAGCTTCCCATATCCATCTCAGAAGGTTCGGATGTGAATGCCGGAGTGAAGGTCGTGTCCAATGACAGGTTGGGCGGGCTCTGACCCCAGTCGAAGCTGGTTGGGGTTGACGACATGAGATTTTGGTCTATCGACTCCATCCCATGCATTGGCGCATTGACGTGTGCAGCCAACTGAGCCTCTAAGTGGTGTATTCGACTTTCTAGCGCGGCTTGGTGTTCTCTGCGACCCATGTTGGTACAATCACGTGATGGCGCGCGTCACTGGCGCGGAAAGGGCAGATACTGACGATGCAACGACTTCTCGTGGTTTTTGCGTTCTTACGCCTGGTTAATATTAGCTTTAGCTATTACTACGGATTGGGCATGCCTGAAGCTACGAACATGCTAATGAGAATCTTTTGCAGGTTGCACATGGAGTGTCCCCGTCGCATCGGATCTAAGTAATTTTAGACTTTGGAACCCTTCACGTAGAGACTACTGGCTACCTTTCGCCTTCTACATCGCTCGCAAGCGTTGGAGACTGACTTGCGTCTCGGTGCCCAATCCTGAACGGCGGCCGGGGAGAAGCGAGCAGGTCCTTCGCCCGCTGGCAGCGAGGCTGTGCAAATCAGTATGTATACATGGCAGGACTCTGTGTATCAACCTACTGAAGGGACGACACATGATCTCTCGGATGCTGTTGTTGCCGTGCGATTTCCAAGATGCCTCAGGGAGGGATGAACACGAGAGCAGGAGCAGCACCGTCGGGGATCCCGCACCGGATGATGAGCGACCCGAAAACCAGATGAGCTGGGCAGGAGAGGAGCAAGAAGGCGGAAGATGAGATTTGGGGTTGTTTTACAGATGGAGCGAAAGCAGCTGGCAGGGCCAAAAGTGGGTGACTAATCGGTAGCTCCTGCCCTATGCTAGCCGCCGTGGAAGGCGCGAGGCAGATCTGCTGCAGAAGGCTCCGCACCACGACCAGAGCAAGTCGCTGTGACGTTGCGGCCTGTCTGGAATGTGCTGCTTTGCTTATGCGTGCCTGTTTCGCCCAGCAATCATACACTTGCTGTGTTAATTCTCTCCCTGCCCTTAACACGCGCGTGCACCTGCCTTCGCTAATCGTCTTTTTTCTAGAAGGGCGGCCTAGCGCGCGGAGGGGAGCGGGCGCTCTTCCGCACCTGCATGCGTCTTGGCAGATTTGCCTCCCCCCTTCCCACCCACCTCAGTGGGCAACGCGGAGATCAGCCCGCTCTCCGTCGCCCGACGACGCGCTCTATGCGATTCTGCCTTTGCCATACCCATCGCAAAGGCAACCTGGCCTGCGGGCACGACCGACGGCCACGACCGAGCGGGGACAGACGCCTTTGTCGACTGTACCCTCCCCTCCCTCTTCTATGGGCACGCTCGCTGTAGCAGGACCGAGATCGCAAAACGCGCACGCGACGATTGTGGGGTTACGGGGATACGGCGATGCAGCATCACTGACAGGCTGACAGCGCAGATGCGCCTGGTCATTGCTTACTCACCCTGTCGTCCACGACTCATGCTGTGTCTCTACCGAGGGAGCGCTCAGTTGAGGTGAACCCTGACGACGGCTTTGGCCTCAAGCATCTGCACTGACCAGCTGCCTCAACCTTGCCTCTCTCTGGATTCGCATGTTAAGGACAGCTCTCCCAAGCTTTCTTCCAAGACTGCTTTACCTTCGCGCTTTCCTGGCTCTCCTGTTTTCTGTTTCCGTTCTGGTTTCGAACCGCGCTGATTCGCCACGGCTCTGCCCACAATATACCCACCATGCCTGTCAATTATGTTAGAAGCGCGAATATCTGTCTCAATTTGCACAGCCTCGATCTTTGCTGAATTCAATGGTCATTGTCGCCTGGGCATCATGTCTTCTTCTGGGCTTATTCCTGCTCGGCACGCGGGCTTGGTGCCCGTCGTGGCCGCTTCTGCCTCACCCTCTGCAATGTTCGACCCACAACGAGTAAACATTCCAGTTCGTAGATTACTATATCACCTTCTACAAGATGCACTTCCATCGCAAACACCAAAGTTCATTGATTTGACATATCTTATTTACCGTGTTCTTTAATCCATAGTCTTATTTATTATTGCCTGCTGAGCATGGCTTCATCAACCGGCGCGCCTGGTCGCGCAGGAAATGGGTCTTTACCGCCCCTCCCAGAGATCACAGTCGAAATCCCAAGGACACCCATGCGTGCCAACACAGAGGAAACTTTGACTGCAGTGACACTTGGAGACGATATATCGCCTGCAACACTGGCACCAGAAAGGTCGTTCAGATCAATGCATTCTCGGAATGCGTCGACAAGTGCCCAGAGCATAGCATCAAGCTCGAATCCCTTTTCAGGGCGAAGTCGTGCCGCAAGCGAGGCCACGCTTGCAGCTCCTGGTACTTCCGCAGGAGCTTCGACCCATACTCTGGACTCTTATCTCCATGACGACGCCCTCAAGGCGGACCCAGGATCCGAAAAGGACTTTGCTGTTCTGGATAACAAATTCGCGTTCTCTCCAGGCCAGCTAAACAAGTTACTGAATCCGAAATCGCTGGCTGCGTTCATCGCCCTAGGTGGGCTTCCGGGACTCGAGACTGGTCTGCGGACGGATGTAGATAGGGGATTGAGCCTAGAGGAAATCGAGCTGACGGGCTCAGTGTCTTTTGAGGAAGTCACTAAGCAATACCGAAAGACACGTGGTATTGGTGCGTCAACGCTACCTCGCCCAGTTGAGGTCCGCCACGTCAATGTTACGGAGGCAGGAGGTTCTGGCACACGATCGCACTC